ACACTTTACAGTATATCCTATGAAGTGCTTTACGACATCTCGAAGACGTGATAAGGCCCTACATCAAATGCAAGGATTATTATTTTTATTATTGTCTGGAGAAAATTTAAGATTTTAATATTTTCTCCTTGTTGCAGGTTCGAAGTTGTTTCCGAAAGCAGAATCTATTGCCCGCATGGTGCTAATCAGCCGTGGGCCCGAAGGGCTAATTACCCTTTACTAATTGTTCTGCTTACTGGGTTTTATGGCTCGCGTGTCACTAACAAGCTCGATTTGTAAAGGCAGAGGTTAACCAGTAGCAAACTAAAAGAAAATCCCAAATGCATTGCCATAAAATATGAAAGTTGTAGCAATGCCTGTGCCACAGTCTATCTCAGTGAGTTCTAAAGATGGGTGATTTGTGATCTTCGCACAAGTCATCACAATGTACTTCTGTATTCGTTAAAGAACCTGAAAGGAATCCCATTGAAACCGATAGGTTTTAAACCTCAATATCAAATCTAATGTATTCACATTAACTTACTGTTTGAACAGTTCTTTCATTATGTTCTTTTAAACACCTCTGTTCCCAAATTTACACAAGAGAGAGATGAATGCTTCGTCACAACATTTCTGCATGTCCCAATTTCATTCTTTTCCATCTCATTCTTTATTAATTCCTCTGTTTTTCTGGTCAGCCAGATGTCTTGACACATTTACAAACCCCTTGTGGTGTTCAGCAGTTTAACACTCTCCAATTCCAGTGAGAAACACACAGGCGGTTTGGTTTTGCCAGGTCTAGTGTTCTCTGGGAATTCTAATAAGTGGACCCAAACTGAAGAACACATGCGAAGATTTGCCGCAGCCAAGGAACTAGGGATCTGGGACACATTGATGGAATTTAGCCAACAGCTAGGACCACTTGGAAGCCATTATGATAATGGCTATTAGTTTATCAGGAGACACGTTGGGAGAGTAACAACCCACAGACTTGGAAGTCGTGCCATTGAAGAACTGAAGAGCTTCGACTCAGCTGCACTCCCATTGCCAAGGGTGTGACCTTGGAGTCTGTTAGACCTCAAATTTATATCCCCAGAAGCTGTTAGTCACAGGTCGGCTAACAGCCAATTGATAACTGGGTTTTGAACTGGTCCAAGTTCAAATAGAACCTTAGAATATTACAGCACAGAAGGAGAATTGACCAGTTTGTGTGGAGACAGGCAAACTCAAAGAAACTCCGTTACCTTACCCATCAGTGCTGTGGGATCTTTACAATCACCCGAGCAGATGGGACCTCATCTTAAAGTATCATCCAAAAGCACCCCAGCATTCCACTGGAGTATCAACCTCATCTACAAGCTCAAAAACCAAGACGAGGTTTCAACCCACAACCTTCTGACCCACGGGCAAGAGTGCTACCAACTGAAACAAGCTGACACCTGATAAACCCCGTTAGCAGAATTATAAATCTTAAAATTGAGGCACTTAGGTGAAAGATCAAGACCCATAATGCAGGACTCCACAAGAAAGACGGCGTTTGAGGCTAACTTTACTGAAAGTTAACTGTTCAGATCTCGAACCTTCCTGGACCATTTGGGGCCTCAAACAATTTCCGAATCTATATTTTTTCTGAAATTGTAACTCGCTGGACACTACAAATTGTCCTTCAGTTGAGAAGACAAAGCTAATAATAATAATCATCATCATTCACGCATTCGGTACTGCACCTTTCACGTTGAGAGAACTTTCCCAAAGTGCTTAACAGGATAACCTGTAAAGTGTAGTGACTGTTTTGCGGCCGAATGTGGCAAACGATTTGCGCGAGCAACAATGTACCACAAACAGCCATGAAGTGAATAACAAATTTTATTGGGGAGATTGTTGGCCAGGATACCAGGGAAAACTCCCTTCTCTTTTCCAATGGTGCCTTGGAATGTTTGAAATCCACCTGAACAGGCAGATGGGGTCTTGGTTTAACTTCTCATCCGAAGAACGACACCTGACAATACAGAACAATTCGAGTACTGCATTGGAGTCATCTCACATTTCAGCCACTACGCCCCAAAACTGTGGAACATTCTCCCTCAATCCCTCTGCCTTGCCCCCTCTCTCTTTTTCAAGTTCCGCCTGAAAATCTTCCTTTTTGACCGTGCTTACAGTCACATCCCCCCTCCTCCCCGGCTCGGAGTCAGGCTCCGCCACTGATAAGCGCCCTGAGACGCTGCCCTGTGTGGAGGGCACTATATAAGTGCAAGTTGTTGTTGTGCATTATTGGAGTTCCAAGTGAGATTCGAAAAGATGACCCAAAGTGCAGTCCAGCTCGGGCTCCCATTCTTACCTTGTAAAGGACTTTGAGACGTTCTTCCAAGCGTGACATTTGCTGTGTGAATGCAGATGTTGTTGTTGAACATATTTATGTGTACAGTTCGTCTTTACCTTTTTAACAGTTACAGGCGTGTCGTTTTCATTAATTTGCACACAAGATAAACCAATCTGTCAGTTCCCGTGATAGCTAATTGCTCTATCTTGTTTCTCCAGGTTTGGTTGGTTCCTGCAGCGGTTTGGCATTGCCCACTGCTCAATATCCCTGGTACCGCACTGGCAGACGTCAAAGAAGGCAATGAAATCTGACACCAAAGATTACCCTTTACTGTTATTCCTTCACCAAACTAGTTAACACTTACAGTTTTTTTTAATATATCTGCAACAGACATCTGATGGTGCTGTTTATGGCCTATGTTTTAAGTCTAAGTGGTAAACTAACAAGCTCGTAAAAACAAAATGAGTAACAAAATCACAGGGTTCATAACACCTTTCAGTCCTTCGCTAAAGCCATTTACCTAATATGGACAGTAGAATTCTTTCCTGTAATGTTCCTTTTCAGATGCACTTTATTGTGTACAATGACAAATTTGAACGCATCAGCGTCGATCTTATAAGGGTTATCTTCGGACTTTTGCAGTTTGCGTTTCAAGCATGTTTAAAATTGTATGTGACACCAGGTGTAATCCACAGAGGTGCCGTGCAGACATTGTGTGTAAATTACATTAAAATGCTGGTGCCATCTACTGAGTACAGCCATATTTTGACTCTGTACTTTTTCTATTTAAAGGAAATTGGGTCTAAAATGAATTTTGACAGGACTAAACAACCACATGAGTGGCAATACAATGCAATTTACATTTACTCTTGATGGAAGCCTCCAAGGAGGAAACTGACTTTTTTTCTGTTGTCCAAGGCAACAGAGACACTCCTAGCTGGTTTGAGTCGTACATTAGGATTAATGTAACATTAAAGAAATGAATCAAACAGAGCATCCAAGAACACAGTTTGTGCGTCGTGTTCGGAAGGCAGAATTCACACAAATCCTGTCATGATAACAAGACGCTGTGATTTTTCTTAACTATCTGATGACCTGTACTAAACCTATTTTATGTTGAGGACACCATCAAAGAGGAAGGACAAGGTAAGTAATCTCTCTAGACTAGTAAAAAGCACTTTCATCTTTGTCTTTTAAGCGTTTTAGTTGATACTTGCTTCACATCGACTGTGATTTAGGTTTCACTGAGTGGATGCACTGTCCGTTCTGGTAATCTTGAGGGCATTTTGAGGGCAAGGTCTCAGTCTGGCTCAGTTGGTAGTGCTCTCGCCTCAGAGTCAGCAGGTTGTGGGTTCAAGCCTCACGTCAGGACTTTTAGCTCACATTCTAGGTCAGGGTGGTCCAACCTTTTGACTGCTGAGGGCTGGATGCTGTATGTGAGAAATGTCCGCAGGTTGCTTAAGCAATATTATTGTGTTTCCCTTCCAGAAACATAACATTTATACAGCATCTTTTTCACATTGGAAGGACATCTCAAAGCGCTCAACACTGCTGGCTGGACACCCGAGCTGGGGGTAGGAAGTGGGGTGGAGAGGGGAAAAGATGACCGTAAGTGCAGTCAAAGAGTTAGGTCTCGACGTACCTTGAAGGAGGAAAGGGAGGGAGCGAGCCGGAGGGACTTTGGGAATGGAGCTCCAGAGAGTCGGGGCAAAATGGCGATGGTGGGGCAGATGGGGTGGGGGGAAGAAAGAGAGTGAGAAGAGAGAGAATGAAACAAGCCGGTGTTTGCTGGGGCAAAGGGAACAGCTGGATTGGGAGATCGCAGAGGTATGGTGGGGAGAAACGATGGATGTGGAGGAGTTTCTCACTGTTTGAATTTCAGGGATATCCAAGAGCTTTCTCACAGGAATTTAATACCTTCTGAAACACAAATCATTTGCCAACTTGATTTATTTACCATGCATATATAGAATGTATTCCTCTACTTTATGTTCTCTCTGTGTCAGGAAATCAATACTATATTCATGATTCACACAGGTTTGTTTGACTGTAAACAATTCGTCACTCTAGACTTGCAACGAATTCACCTCCTATCCCAAAACTGCGCGTTCAAACTAAAAGAAAAACTCTCGTCGCGTCTCATTTTGCACATAAACATGACTAGCTAACATGGGTAATTAAGCAAATATATATTTGGCATATTCAGCAACTGGAATTGTCTTCAATAGTATTAAGATTAAATAAAATAATTGCAGTGAGGCATGTTGTGACAGTTCATGACTGACGTTCTGACTGGCACGTTCCTTCCAGACCATCCCCTGCTCCGGGGGCCGCTCTGCTCCAATGGGGGGCTTCCCATAAGGAAGAGAGGATGGTGAGGAGGGTCTCGGAGGCCACCTCGGACCCTTCCTGGATGGACCCTGGCCACAGCATCACGGGGATGGAGCAGGCTGCTGGAAAGGCGATCACAATGGGATGCCTCACTCCACACACTGAATTCACAGTCAACAATTGTTCATATGTAGGTGATTAAAAANGATATTGTTCTTTATATGTTTCCAATACTGGATATAAGTACAAAAAACACTGATTTGTTAATATATATATATATAATATATATAATATATATAGCATTGTCCATGGCTTATAGAATGTTTGGAAAAAAAGCTCAGATTTCCCAATGTGGTCACAGAACTTCACAAACTGGAGATTGCCGCTACGCCAACTGACCTCTTTGCGGTTGATTTTAACTCGTTCCCTTTGACAAAAGCTCAGGACATTTTCCATCGAGTTTTTTTGAGTGCCTTCGTCGAGCAACAAAACAAATATTGAAAAGCGGGCAAAATAACCGGCTCTGGGGACGAAATAACCGTATGTGTGCGTGTGAGTGTGTGTGTGTGTGAAACGTATCTGTGCCCATCCGTGAAAATCCAGCCTTCCCCCTAGTCACTTCCTATTCACACTGATTCGCTTGTATCAGTCTGAGTCAGCTGTCTGTCCAGGTTGTCACAGTGCCCAGGCCGGAGTGGTACTGGCCAGGTAACGATAGACTCTGTGAGAAGAGCAACTCCCGAGTGCTCTGGGTGTGAGGAGCTGACGGGTGTCTCTCATGGGGCAGGAGAGGGACCCTGTCCCTGGGGGAGCAGGCGGCCCCCCCTGGCCCCCGGCTCCTGGCCTGGTGCTGAGGTGGGGAGTAGCCGCTGTACTGAGGGTCGCAAGGCGGCTGGGGGCTCTGTGCGGGCAACCCGGGCAGGTGTGGCATCATGGCCGTGGTGGTGAAGTGAGCCGAGAAATGCTGGTAAGGTACCGTCTCCATGGTCTGGACTCCACAGCTGCCATAGGGGGGCACGGGGGGCCACATGTTACAGCCCAGGGCTTGGGGATGGTCCTCGTGCCCCGTCGCTCCACCCACCTCGCCTCCCGGGCCCGAGAACATACAGGCGTCCCTCAGGTCGGCTTCGCTGCGGTACGGCGGGCTCAACACCTGCTGCTCGTAGGGCGGGGGCCGGAAATAGTGCTCATCTCCCAGGGAGGAGGGGGCTTCCAGGAAAGGGCGTTTGCAGGGCAGTTCAGGATGGCCGTGGGCTTCTGAAAGGGAAAAGAGAGTCATTGCTGCTTCCTTGTGAATGCGACTACACTATCTGATTCAACTACCGCTTCAGGCAGCGAGTCCACAGTCTCGCTATCCTCTGCGTGAATTAGTTCCTCCTAAATCCTCTTTTAGATTCCCCCTAGTTTCTCTTATATTTGTAATCCTTGGTTGCGGACTCCCCCAACCAGTGGAAACAGCCTTATCAAACCATTTTATAGTTTTAAACACTTCTTTTAGGTCACTCCTTTAAATGTCTCCTCTCTAACCAAAAAATCAGTCTATGTTGAGAGCAGTAACCTGTCAGCCCTGGTCTCATCCTTGTAAACCTACGCTGTACTCTTTCCATTGCTACTCTATCCTTGTTACGGTGTGGAGACCAGAATTGGACACAATACTCCAAATGTGGTCTAACCAAGGCTTTGTTATATTCTATCCCTCTGTATCTACACCCCATTGACCTTTTTTTTTAATATGGCTTTATCTCCCTGTGTAGTGACTTAGAGATTTGTGGGTGTGAATCCCCTGCGGTTACAGAGTGTTTCACTGGCCATGTTTTCATCAGGTTAAAGTACACGCACAGAGGCAAACATTGATGTGTTAATGTGGCTTCTATTTGTTCATATGAAGCACAGATGAGCTTCTTCCTCGACTTGGAAAGTTGGATTTACTGATCCCTGCAACTGATTGTGATCCACAATCGCAAACCATTTTGTGCCAAGTTGGCTTAATCAATAGCATATCTCCTCTGAGTCAGAAGGTTGTGATGTCAATCTCCACGTCAGGACTTGGAACTCATCTAGGCTAAGCTGATACTCCAGTGCAGTGCTGGGGAAGTCCTACATTGAAGAGATGCCATGCTGCAGGTGAGACGTTAAGCTAAGATCCCGTCTGTGCCTGTTCAGGTGAATATTAAAGATTCCATGGCACCATACGGAATCAAAAGTGCCGATCACTTCTGTCTTTGCTGAACATATGTTAAAAAAACAAGTTGTGTGCTCTCCCAACACTTGTTCGCATTGACTCAGGAGAGCGATGGGCTGGGTTTGATTATTTATTGTACGCCATCGAGTTGTATAAGTGGAAACAGCAACTTGAGGAGCAGTGAAAGGATTGTATCAGCTCTTGTTATAAAAATACCATTACTGTACAGCTACAAAGACCAAGGTTCTTAACATCAATCAGTATTAGACCTGCTTATCAGTTCAGCCAACTTAATTGCTGACAGCCAGCTTCCAGACCCCACTCCCCTGACGAGATCTGACAGCTCTTTTCATTTCCCTTATCATTCCCTTTCCTCCCACCTTCCACACAGTAATGGGAAATTACACTCCCATTAATGTCACTCGCACAATAACTCTTTCTAATCCAGACAGTCTCACACATCCGTGTGTATTCCAGTGAACAATTTTGTGCGCTGTGTAATAATTTACGCAGAATAATATCACACATAATATGCTAGATAAACACTTGTGTAGCTCGCTGATGGTATCCTCTACGGACTGAATGTGAAATCGGTTGTGAATGTTTGTATTTCGATAGAACGCCACCAGTTATGATGCCAAAAGCTCTCCTGTGGTGCTGTATTCTCACCTCCAGACACCCTCGTAATGACCAAGCTTCACTACACCAATTCTCTGCTCACCAAACTCCTCCATGCCCAGCTTCAGACTATCCTGGACTGCAAAGTCTTGTCCTTTTACTCAACAGGCTCATGGAGTGAACAACCAATTTTATTTGGGGAGGGATTGTTGACAAGGACACTGGGAGAGACTCTTTCGAATATGCCATGGGATCTTAAACATCCACCTCAACACGCAGATGGCACCTCGGTATAATAACAATAGTATATTTAAATCGCCGACATTTAGTACAGTGCCCTTTTGTGTCAGGAGGATGTCCTGAAGCGCTTCACAGGATATACTGTAAGGTGTAGTGACTGTGTATTTTGTGGACAAATTTGGCAACCAATTTGCATACAGCAGTGCCCAGCAAACAGCTATGAAGTGGTGAGAGCCCTATCCAGGTGCACAATGTCAGATTATTTCTGCCGCTGACCAAATATAAAGATCCTGGTTTTGTGCCGGATTCACTTTGTTATTTATAGCCACTTTGACTGGTCACCAACCAGCCCTTGCCTCTCAGCAACAGAGTGCTCTGACTGCGGGAATGGGGGGGTGGGGTGGTGGGACCGGCCTGTGACCAATTGACAGGTGCCCATGGAGGATGGTAGCCATCACGGTTACATTTCAGGTGAAGACTGAAAGGATTACCAGATATTATCATATTCAGTATGGGGTAACAAATCCTTAAGAAAAATAATTATAAATTGGTCACTCAATCCATAACTGCTTGTGGGACGCTGCTGTGCACAATTGGCTGCCCCGTTTCACCCACAAAATATACAGTCAATTCACAGCATATTCTGTGAAGGGCTTTGAGACGTCTTGTAAATGTGATAAGGCTCTATATCAAATGCAAGGATCATTGTTATTAGTCAAAGGTTGTTACCTCTTGGTTTGAAACAGTGATAGATTAGTCCTGAATCTCTCTGGGCTGTGAAGGGTGTCAGTGTGAGGTCCTGTGTGCCTGACGTGGTTAGTTGTAGTGGCCCGTTGCTCTCGTATGGATAGTGCTGATGAATCTGTGTTCCGTGAACTGTGCTGCACTCCATCTTGGGCGTCAACTGGCCATGGTTTGAGATAAGCCGTTGGCGAACGATGCTCTTTGAAATGACTGGATATTCTCTGCAAAGAAAAAACAAATGTTTCCAAATCATGTGGAATATCTGGTCTGAGGAAAGATTGATGCTTTAGAGATACATTAGACCACTGTTTGATAAAAGATTATTTAAGGACATGAAGCTTGGAATGAGAAGAGGCCATCGCTCCACCAAGCTCCCTCCTTTCACAGACCCAGGAAAACCAACTCACCCTCATGTGGTATTCTGCCTAACTCAATCCCTAGGAAAGCTCTAAATAGATGTTCCCTCATCCCTAAAGTTATACAACCAAACCTCAAGCGATTCAAATTTGGATTCCTTCCCTCCACAGACATCGCCCCTCCTTCCAGCTGTATAGAGGTCAGGTTCACTCTCGTTCCTCATCTGTCCACATATCCTCTGATTAACAATGTGAGAGCAATGTTGGAGGAGAAACCAGGAAGTACCTCTTTATACAGACAATCATGAACACCTTGGATGGGTCGTAGTGAAGAGCTGGATTTATTCAAGCAGGTACCTAAGAACTCAAAGTGGCAGCTCAAGTGGTGGTGTACTGAGTTTTGTACACAGGGCAAAAAGTACCAAAATACAGCAATAATACCAACTTTATACAAATGGTGGCTGTGTGACACCTCTCAGTTATGCTCAATTTCCAGCCTCCTCTCTCCCCGTTTTCAATCCTCGCTGAGCTTTCAACCCTCCGGGTGTTTTCCATCGGCTTTGCTAGACCACATGATTTACCTCTAATGACAATCACCTGTTTTACCTGTGAACTGATACAACACTGGCGACCAGAGGATCTAAAAGAGAAGTTAGGAGGAACTGCTTCAGGCAGATGGTAGTGAGATTGTGGAACTTGCTGTTTGAAGCGGTGGTTGAATGAGACAGTGTAGATGCATTCAAGAGGAAACTAGACCTTCGCATGCGGGAGAGGGGAATAGAGGGAGTGGAGACTTGTGTGGAGCATAAGCATTGGCACGGACTGTTTCCACGCCGCACAGTCTGTAACAGTGGTTTGCTGACAAACGTACCTCTGTAAGCGGGACACTCGCAAGTCACTGTCATCTCCTCCTCTGAAGCCTTTAGCAAAGGGATTATTTTCAATCTTCAGCTGGGTGATCTGCGACACAAGGTACAGTAAGAATATTTACTTTATTATAAAATCTCTCACAGAAATCACTCTCGACTGTTCTACACAGAAACACCTAACATAGCAAACAACTCAGTGTTTTTACTTGGTGTGTGAACATCAGTTTAGTGAGGGTAACGAAACTCCCTTGCGTGCAGGCAAGTGCTCTCTAGTGCTGTGTTAGCTAAACATAAGTTACTGTTGTGGAATCACACTGAAGCACCCAATTTGCTTTCTGATATCTGATTTGATATATGCAAGGATTTTTATTATTGTCACGTTGGAAGGTGGTCTCAAAGCTCTTCACAGAAAAACACTGAGTAAACATCAAGTAAATACCAGGCAAATATACAGAGTATACACCGGGTAGACACAGTGTAAACAGAGTAAACAGGTAACTATGCAGAGAAACACAGTGTAAAATACCAGGTAAATATTCTGAGTAAACTAATACCCATTGTGTTTAAATATAGAGTAAACATTGGGTAAACACACTGAATAACAACAACAAAGTACATTTGTATAAACAACAACAAAATTACATTTGTATAGTTCCTTCCACGTCGGGAGGACTTCCCAAAGCGATGGACAGTCAGTGTGTCGGACCTGTGCTAGGGGTTGGGATTGGGGAGGATGGAGGATGGGGTGGAAGGAGGGTGATCAAAAGCACGGTCAAACAGAAGGGTCTTGAAGGAGGGGGCGAGGCAGGGGGACTACGGAGCAGAGTTCCAGAGGATGGGGGCAGAGTGGCAGAAGATCTGCCTGCCAACGGTGGGGTGGGTGAGGCAGGGGACATGGAGCAGGCTGGAGCTCGCTGAGCAGAGGGAGCGAGCAGGATGGTAGGGGGTTAGGAGGTCACAGAGGTAGGGGCGAGCAAGGCCATGGAGGATTTTGAAGGTGAGGACCAGCATCTTGAACTGTATACTCTGTGTGATGTACATAGCGCCTTTCAGGAGGACATCCCAAGGCGCTGGACAATCAGGAGCCGAGCAGGGGGTTGGGATTGGGAAGGGTGGAGTGTAGGGGTAGGAGGGAGACCGAAGGCGCCCAATAAATACAGGGTGAAGGCACAAAGTAAACACTGACTGGGTAAAATTGGAAAAATACACAGAATAAAAACATTGGGTAAACGCAAAGTGAAACAACAAGTAAACAAGGGATAAAAACACAGAATAAACACTGGGTAAATGCACAGTATAAAACCCCGCGTAAAACATTAGGTGAATACACATGGAAAACACCAGATAAAATCACTGAATGAACATGGGGCAAATGTGGATAAAATCACTGAGTAAAGATTAGATATCACACAGTAAAACACTGGGTAAATGCATCAAATAAATATTTGGTAAATGCACAGAGTAAAACACCGAATAAACATTGAGTAAAACAGAGTGTAAAGCACCAGGTACATACACTGACTAAACTCTGGGTAAATACCCAAATTATACACCAGGTAAACGCAGGTTAAAAGCCCCAGGAAAAATTACCAGGATAAACACTGAGCAAAACACTGAAGTAAATCACCTCAATGTCAAAACACCTGATTTGACATCGAGTCTGTATTGAATGAAGTTCCTTCTATGTTCTCAACACATCTGGATTCAGCATCTGATCTTCAGAGCGACCACCAAACACTGAGGGCATTTTAATCTCCAGCCTGAAGGAGCTCCATCCTGGGCTCCAAGCGTTGATCAGAGAAAGTCACAACATAACCAACCCCAGAAGCAAATGATTCTCGGCATTTTGGTTCCTATTGTGAGTTCGTTTATAACATATTTTACTCCCTAAAATATGAGCTGTGCGTTCATCCATTGTCTGTCCAGCGCTCTGTTGGATATCAGTTTAACAGGTGAAGGCAATGAAAAGTAACATCTGGAAAATGTAAACTATGGCTTTGAACAGAGGCAAATGTTGATAGGGATCTGTCCTGACCACCTCAAACAGGTCTTATTATCCAAACTTGTCATCACATCTGGTAGCACTGAGCACTGTCTCCTATAAGTTACTTAATCCTTACTGAGCTGTGGGTATCTGTTCCCAAAGCAATAAGTTCCATTTCCTCTGCTTCATTCTGTCTATCTTGTGATACTGTGAGAGGAGGAAGCGATTCACGCCATGGGAATAGTACATCCAGTCACTAAGAGGTATCCAGAATAGATGGGCCCCAAAACGCTACATTAATAAGAAAGGAAAGCATAGTGACTGTGTGTAGTTTCTTGGTAAGGTTTTGGACGGTCACAGAGATAGGGTGTAGCAAAACCATGAAAAGATTTCAAAGTTAGGACGAGGACCTTGAACTCGAGCCCTCTGGGGAAATCAATACCAGTGAAGACAGGCGAGGATGGGGATGATCGGTTCACAGAGCCTAGTGAGGGAGAGAGCACGAGCTGCAGAGATCTGGATGGTCTACAGCTTGTGGGAAGTCTGGTAAGCAAAGGGTTGACTTAGTCCGCTCTGGGTGTGATGAATGCATCAATGAGAGTCTCGGTTTCTTGAGAGGAGAGGTAGCAGCAGTGGTGGATCATGTTGTGGAGGTGGGGAAAAGCTGAACGGATCAGAGCACAGAATGGTGGTCTAAGGGAAAGTTTGGAGTTGAACAAGACACTAAGGTCCTGCACTGGCTCCGTGAGGTGGAGTGTGTATCTGTGTAGATTGATGCTGTCAGCGCCTGAAGTGGGAAGGTGTTGATGGGAACCAAGCAGGAGAGCCTTTGTCTTGTCAACATTCAACTGGAGAAAGTTAGCTCTCATCCTGGACTTGATGTCTGACAGGCAATTGGTCTTGGAGTCGAGGGTGGAGACAGAGAGATGGAATTGGGTGTAATCTGCGTACATGTGGAACTTAACCCTATACCTGTGGATTTCACACACGTATACATATACAGATACACACAGAGAACATTCACACACACACACACATTCGTGTACCCATTTGTGCACACACTCACGTAACACTGACGCACATGTACACTCGTACACATCACACACACACTCGCTCACTGCGTGATACGTGAAGACAGGCTGTAGCCGGGAGGTGGGAATTAGAAAGCGACTAAAACATACCTTGTGATTCTGGTACGACGTGACGGAAATGAAAGTAGTCTCCGTGAAAACGTGAGTGGAAAAGGCAGTGTTTTTCGAACCAAATGCGTTGTTTTCGTCCGCTTTGACGATATGCAGTCTCGGCTGGTACTTGTGCATTGAATTTAAAATGATCTGTAGGTGAAGACAAGATATTAGAGTCAATCTTTGACTTCTTTCAGCCACCTTCTCTCTCTTAGCTGCCAGGTTCTGAGATATCCTCCCAACATGAAAGGTAAATGTAAATTTTTGTTGTGACTCTGATAAGAGCAGGGAGGGTCTCTTTAGATGTGGGGGCTGGGGGTTGGGGAGAGAAATGGCTCCAAGGCGATGTGCCTGGGGATATGCAGAGCTGGCGGGGGCGGCAGTGTTGGGCAGGGCAGGGGTGGGGACATGGGTGGGAACAGGGGGGGGGTGGGGGCGGAGTAGGGCAGAGCTGGGGACCAGGAAGGGAGGGGCGGAGGTGGATCCGGGGGTGAGGCGGAACTTGGGGGCGGTGCGGGGCAGAGCCGGAGACCGGAGCGGCGTTGCAGGGGCGGGGCTGGGTATTGGGGCCGGGGTCAGGGCAGGAATGGGGCAGGGACCACGGCTCACTCACGTGTCCGAAGGGATCCAGGTGATTGTTGGTGAGTTTTAGTTTCTGGAAGGAGACAAGTTGTCGCATCCAGTGCGCTCCTGTGGCGGGCGAATCCGGGTGCACGTACAGCCGCCCTGGCATTGCCGGCTCGGCCTTGCCGGCCACCATCCTGCAAACAGTGAGCCAGCGTCACACAAACCTCCAGCCACACAGCACTGAGCAGCGGGAGGCATCGGGGTGGGTGTGAGATAAATTGGAATCAAAATGCAAGCTGCCTATCCAAATATTCAGGAGCGGCGTGTAAATAATTAATAACAATAATAATCCTTGCAATTTGGTACAGCAACTTATCACATCGTCGAAGCGTCTCAAAGCACTTTGCAAGATATACTGTAAAGTGTAGTGACTGTGCGTTTTGTGCTAAACGTTTTTGTGAATAGGATAATCGCCAGTGACGGCTGAATTGCAGTCAGATTTCATGCATAGGACGGATTTGTCTTCAATTCAAATTCAATTTGCATTAGTCGCCCAAAGAATTTCTCACCAATATTTCCTGCCCTTGTCCGTGGCCTGGTGTGTGGGGTGTGGGGTGCGCTGTATGGTGTGTCCTGTCGAGGGGAGTGTGTGAAAGACTCACCATTTATTGTCGCAGAATTTATAACGATGATCATCTGCAGGAACAATGTCAATCAGGAGAATGTACTTTGTTTTGGGATTCATCCCCGTCACCTTCACCTTGTAACTTGGGAACATCCGCCTGTAGAGAGAGCAAGGGGAGGGTGGGAGAATCTGAAGATTTTTCTGTTAACCCTGCAAGCCAAAGCCCAGAGAGTCTAAGCTGGATCCATAGAAACAGGAGTAGGCCATTCAGGCTCTCTAATAAGATCAGCGCTGATCTGTACCTCAAGTCTAATTACCGGCCTTTGCCCCTGACCTAACAAAGATCAATCCACCTCAGTCAGCAGCGGGAAAACTTGTCAGACATGTGGGGAGGGTGTGTGAGGAGAGAAGGGAGTTTACAGTAATTCTGAGAGGACACACGCTGAGAGTGTGAGAGGAGAGCAGCAAGACACAGTTCTGAAACTCAACAGCTAATGAGACTATGGACCTTCCCAGCCATTTATTACATCAGCTTCTGGAAATTAATCTATTGCTCCATTCAGCCCACATGCCTGAAAGTTAGCAGCTGAAGTAGCCTGGCCTTATAAATTTTAAGTGCTTTTTTAATGGCAATAAAAGGAGTAAAGGCATGTGAGATTCATATTGTTGACATCTCTGGACATTATTAAGTGGGTTCACACAGAACTCAAGGAGCGCAGTTACACTGAAGTAGCGGAGGCTGTGCAGAATGAAGTGCTCTCAGCTTTTGTGGGATTTCTCTGCCCATCTACCTGCCATGCCCCATCTCTGGTTTTCATTTTGTGTGTTTTATTAACATCCTAGTCAGGGATTTAACTGTCTGACCTGCTGAGAGTCTCTGGGCCCTCTCAACTGAATATGGTGCAGTTGGAATTTTTCGGCTTGTATTCGGAGAATGCAATTAATAAAAGTGCTTTTCGTGCTTTTTTTTAAAACTGGGGTTAATTCTGACAGGCCGATGGTGAGCAGGGGATTGTGTGGCAGTGAATGTGCAAGTGATGGTGAGCACCGACTCGCTCACTCTTGAAGGACGAACAACATGACGACAACAATTTACATTTACACAGCACCTTTCACATCGGGTGGATGACCCAAGGCACAGACGGTCGAGGTTATCCTGGTGTCTGTGTCTCACATTCTGACCCCATTGTCCTGGTTACCTGAGCATTTCCAAACATCTTATTCTGCCCATTTGAATCACTGACCTTGGGGAGTCGAGTGTTTTTTTTTTAACCCTCACTAATCATGCTCCTTGGACAAGCAGGGAATGTGTTAACTCCACAGCATGTTATTTAAGTGTAAAATTATTTAATTACACTTGTGCCGAGAGCAAATCTATGACACCAGCTGTTTCTGTTCTCTGCCCACTGGTTTGTTTTTGCGTCCACTGTAGGCTGCTGGTGGTAAAGCGAGCAGAATCTCTGGCTGGTCTCGGGCTTAGACTCCCTCGCTGCCCGCCTGGTAAATGTCCACATAGGAACGATATCGGAACTCTGCCTGTTTGTATCAGGAAAGTGTAACTGTCATGTTCTCAGCCTCTCTCTCTAGAGAGGGAGCATTAGAGAGCCAAACATTCCAACTCACCGGCTGCTTAATGAGTTCTGAAAGCTACAATCCAGTGTCCAAACATTCCCGTCACAACCCTTACCATCAGCGACTGATTTGGGGCAACTGGGAATCCCACACCTGCTCACTGGGACTCACAGCCACATTCCTAACACTGGTGTCTTAGAAATAGGTGGAGGTCATTCAGCCCCTCAAGCCTGTTCCGCCATTCTATAAGATAATGGCTGATCTATCTGTCCCTGTCCGGTTATTAAACAGTTATCTTGATCCACACATAATCCTGAGATAAGGATATCTTCCAATATTTGGTAATATTAGTGTGTTATTGAGTTTGTGACTCGCTAACACACTACACAGTCCAACTTTCACCAGAAAGTTGTTTTAATTGAGCAACCGTCGAAACTGCCAATGACAGCCCAGCCCAGCCCATCGTGAGGACTTGAAAGCTTGGGGCTGGGGAATTATCCCACTCAACTCCTGCTAACCGTGCAAGCCAAAACTCTAACGAGTAGGATGATCCTAGCTGGATAAGCAACGGAAAAGACTGCCAGACAGTGCTCTCAATGGCAAGTTATGTGGTTTTAGCTGGTTAGATTCCAGCAGTTATCCCAACGCACACTCTGGGGTCCCCAAACTGTGGTTCTTGCCAACCTGCACCTAGCACTCTCTGGAATTGGACAAGCAGGATGCATCTCCAGGGAGAGAGCGCACATTCCATTCCTATAAATATTTATGGAATTGACATGAATTGGGGTTTGAGATGTCCTCCTGATGTGAAGGCGCTGTGTTAATGTGAGTTGCAGTGTATTGTAAACCCAGTGCTGCAAGCAGTTTCCAGGTCTCCTGATCCCTGTAACATTCCTGGAACTCATGTTGAGGCAGGGCCTGGCTGCCAGGCCAGGTAATTGGCTGTTAATCACCCAGCACTGGGCTCTCTCGTGGTAGCAGCTGAGGGGAAGTGTTGAGCTGGTGAGAGAGCCCTGAGAAGCTGCGAGAACCGAGCCTTTGAGGCCAGACCAACCAGAGGCCTTACCCTGTTTTGCAGACAAACACTAACTGACATTCAAAACATCCCAGGGTCAGTTTGTCAGGAACCAGTGCATCTGTGAGTGTTGTAGGCAAGCCCAAGGCATTTTATTTTTCCGCATTTAAAAAGACTGAGTTGCTTTTATAGAAATATTTCCTCCGATTAATTGGTGCGTGTAAAAGAACTGTTAGTTTCCTGGATTATTAAAAAAAGACATACTCTGTCCTTTTAAAGGTTTAACGAGAAGATATTGCTCATTCCGGCTGTGTACATACGCAGTGCAATGGCTCTCCTCTGAAAAGAAACCAACTTCCATCTGCACTTAGGCCGAGACCCAAAATACTTTACGTTTTCAAACTTTACTCCGGCACAGAGTAAACCCTGTTTTCCCATTTCCTCTCTGTACAGACCGCTCTGTGTATTCACCCCTCACAACCGCTTGGTATTTCCATCCCGACTTATTTTCAGGCGTCTTCGCTTCAGTTTGACTCCTGACTGAGCTGATTGTGTCCATTTCACTACAAACGCTTCGTGTTATTCTGGGACCCCAGCCCCACATCCAAGGCCAACCTGAGCCTCGAGGACCCAAACACCAAAGCTGCTGTTCAATGCACTGCGGACAGGAGTGGCTTGTGCTTGCACCCGGCCTTCATGCCATGCTGCTGGGTTACAATAACAGGCTCACATCTGATACAACGCCTTTCATGTCGGGAGGACGTCTCAAAGCGCTTCACAGGATTCATTGCAAAGTGTAGTGACTGTGCATCTTGTAGGTGAATGCGGCACAACAGTATTCCCACAAACAGCCATGAAGTGAGCAACCAATTTGATTTGGGGGATTGTTGGCCAGGACACCGGGAGAGAGAAACTCCCTTCTCTTTTTGAATAGTGCTGTGGGATTCTTTAACATCTGCCTGAACACATATGGATGGAAGGTCACTTAAACATTTCATCCAAAGGAAAGCACCTTTGACAATCCAGAAAGTCCTCAGTACTGCATTAGTGTCAACCCTGACTGTGTGACATTTGGGTCTTGAAACCACAACCATCTTCCTCTCCTCGGTGAATAGTGAGGAGGATTTGCAAATGACTGCAGGGGAGCTTAAATAGATAGGCACAATGGGCAGATAAGTGGTAGATGAAGTTTGATGAAGTGAAATGTGAAATGACTCATTTTGGTAGGAAAAAAAAACAGGGAGGGGGCATAGGGACTTGGGAGTGCAGATAGACATGTCCGGAGACATGGTAGCACAAGTAGAAGGAGCTGTGAGTTTTATACGTAGGGGGCAAAAAGTGCAAACACAAAGCAATAACTTTCTAGAAATCATTGGTTAAACCATAACTGGAGCCCTGCGATGAATTTTAGGCACTTTAAGAAGGATGTTAAGGCTGTGGGGGTGGGGGGGAAATCACCCGCCTGCTTTATGACATGACCTGATGTACTGAATACATTAACAAAAGGGGACAGTGTCACTCTCCCCCCCCCCCCCCCCATCCCCCCACAACCCTGTGTGTGTCAAACCTACCTGCCAGCCTTGGTAATAATCATCTCTGTGCCCGCCTCGTGAAATTTCTTCCAGAGTTCCTTCTCGTGCAGATAAACTTTGATATTCTCGATGCTCTGAAAATCAGAACCAAAGTTTCAGGGCTGGCACCGCAACAAGAAATAAGCCGCACCGCCTACACTGATTGCGACTGCCAGTAGGGGGCAGAGGAACTGAGTGACCAGCAGATGGGTGGGAAGGGGGTTGAGGTAGCAAGTTGTGGGCTTTATGTGGGTGATGATGGTTGAGAGGGACGAAGAGGCGGAGGAGGAGGAAATGGGGATAGATGGTTAAAATGAAAATTAGGAAGGCAAAGAGGAGAACATAGTAAAAAAAATATATATAAAAAGAAGCAGCAAGGTGTTTTATAGGCAGGTAACGTTCAAACGCTCAACTCGACAGCTTCCTGAGCTGTCACCTGTGAGCCCAGGAGCAGTCAGGGTTATTTAGGTACAAACAAGCAGACAACATGACCGGGATTTAACCTACAGCACTACAGGATGAACAAACTCTTGTGTGTGGCAGAGGCAATCTATATATATACATATACATAATGTATAAAATATTCTATATATATAATATATACACTAATAAAAGGCACAGCCCAGGTCAGGAGGAGGCTGTACCTGGGAACGTGGGTTTTATAGCAGCAAGCTGTTGGCAGCGAGTCTAGCTTTACTTTGTGAATGAGTCTCTATCTCCTGTTTATGTCTTTCTCTCCCTCACTTCCTGCCTCTGCAAGCTCTCTCTCGCTCTCTGTAGGACCTTTGCTGCGTACTCTTCACTCCAAAGATTCTCCCCTACTTGGTATCATCCGCAAATGCAACTATCTTACACTGGGTCTCCCTCCGAATCCAGGTCATTAATATATACAACGAACAGGAAGGGATCCAAGTACAGACCCCTGAGGCATCTGCTTAATATCTCTTCCCGTCTTCATCTAGCTCCCCCCCTTATAGTATACAGTCAATTCACTTTACAGTATATTCTGCGAAGCGCTTTGAGACGTCTGGAAGAAGTGATAAGGCGCTGTATCAAATGCGAGGATTGTTATTATGTCTAGGACGAGGCTGTTCCCTTGTGATTGTTGGCCGCTTTCCATCGCACTGTTTGTGATCTCATGGCTGAAACGACAGCTCATGATGTCCTTAAGTGCTCCGTGACGCTACCCCATGTGAATATAATTATAATAAATAATAATTTATATAGTGAAGGGTGCTATATAAATGCAAGTCATCGTTGTTGTCTTACCTGGTCAGGGTCGTGTCCCTGGGGGCTTCCTGGAGACAGGCTGCTGGCTCCTGGGGCGCCGTGGCTCGGTGACTGTACGCTGTGCTCCGAGTGGACATCTTGAGCTGCTGGGAAGCTCTCGTCGTTCTCAGTCACACTCTTCTCTTGCAGCATCTCCTAAAGGGACCAAAAAGCGCAGGAATCAGCGCTCACCCTGCGCACGGACCACGAACAACCACCTTTAAATCGTGCCATCAGGTGGGCATCTGTCTGTCACCTGCCGGGACACTTCAGGATGTTTTCCAGGACGCTATCCCGTGTGAAAGGCGCTATATAAACACAAGTGGTCGCTGCTGTTGTTTCAAATTGAAGCAAACAGGACTTGCCGGTAGCAAAAGTCAGTCCTGATTCACTTTCCTAAATCACTCCACCATTCTCTCAGGGATGAAATTCTACCAGAAATTGGGGACAGTCATTCTCGGGGTTGATCGCTTACAGATCATTTGACCGCGGGGGGAAAAGAGGAGGGATAGGATCAGAGCAGACCTGTCCTGACCTGAGGTGTAACCACACAACATTTTCATCAGGTGTCACCAGAGGGTGATCAGCTGTGGGAACTGCAACTTTTCTTTCTCCCCCACCCCCCAACCCCGCCCAGAGCTCAGGGACAGCTTCTTCTCTAACTAACCTTCTCCTAAGCCAGTCATCGGGTGGATGACCTTTAGGTTGTTTGACTAACTGTTCCGAGACTCCATCTGGAGTGAAGGGCGCTATATAAATGCAAGTTGTTGTTGTTGTTGCTGCCTCTAACCTCGGAGTCTAAACCATTGAAGAAACAACCTCAACAACCCCACTTTCCAAAGCAATACTAAGCCACAATTTGACCTTCTGCCACTTGCTCGTAACACATCAATACCCCCTCCATAAATACCCCTCGTGTTATTGGTCACTGTTATTGTGGTCACTGGCACAGACTCACACATCCATTAGAGGTTTGGTGATCGGCCATGGCCATTTTTGCCCTTTTTTTCCCCCCCCAGGAACAGCACCTTTTAAGATATGGGGACAATAACTGCAGCAACGACTACCATCTAGTTAAGCACTTCATCTTAACAAGTTCAAGATTTTCCTCATCTGAATGTTCCTTTTATATAAACATCAATAAAATCTGTGTATTTACTCCTCTGGCTTGGTAATGAGTCACGTAACTATCCCAGAACTCAAGTCATTAACTTGTCTCGGGAACAGCAGCCTTACATTGAGCTCTACAGCATTGCTTCCTGTTGTTCTCAGAAAGGACAAGTTATACTAAATCTCCTCAAACAATTGTTTGGATCCTAGCCCAGCACTTTGTGAAAACTCCAATGGACATTCATTTAATAGAATCCCCATGTTGGGTTAACCAGTATCCTCAAGCAGTCAACATTTTAAATGGGATTGAAAAAGTAAAGCCAGATCAATATTGTTGGACACATCAAGACAATAAAACAAGGGGTTTAATTCTGTAAAGGGCAATTTCAGGACGGACACCAGGAAGTTTGTTTTTTACCCAGGGGGCAATTAATGACAGGAATAGACTACCAGGAAGAGTGGCTGAGCCCAGGACATTGGGACTCGAGGGTATTGATTGGAAGATACAAGGGTCATCAGTCGCAAGTGTTGATTTTTATTGTGGGTCACTGATTAGAACTAAGTCATACAGTATTTACAAGTTGAGTCTTTCACACTTGGGGCATTCCCAGTTTCTGTTGGGTTGTGAGTCTGCGTAATGCTCTACGTAACTCTGTAACACTCTGTAACTCTCCCCACCTGGATACATGCTCCAAGGATGAGACGTTACCACAGCACAGCTTAAATGCTAAAACTATCTTTTTATATATTGAAAAAGAATATTCCAAACAGTGTCCTGAACTCCTATCCTACCATGGTCTGATGGCAGACATGCTCCCCACTAACCTAGAGTCAAACCACAAAGTGTGCACTGAGGAGGCACATAGTGCAGTGTGCTGTTAAAGCCACAATTTTGACTCTAGAAATTAATTTTTAATTTCTGATATAATCAATTCTGAAGATCTGTCGGGTATGATTTATGTGCCCCTCATGGATAAACTCAGTCTGATTCCCCTCATGCATTGGCTGTAGCTCAGGATTGATGAAGTTTGCTCATGAATGCTAAGAATTGTGATATAAACCATATCTCGTGCCTCTCCCAAAAGTATTACTCTCTGTACAGTCTCACTCAGCTATTAAGGATCTTTATCTCAGTCCCTTTCGTATGTGTTTAAAAAAAAACTTAAATATTGGCTTGATTTAAGAAAGAAATTGGGATAAAATAAGTCTGAAACTATTTTCTTTCCCCAATCAATGGAAGTTTAATGCTATTGCACCCCCTAACCAATAACTCAATAAAGTATTCATTAAAATACAGGAAAACATTACCTTGGTGTTACTTCAACTAACCAACCTCCTGAATAATCAAAATTAGATAAGTTATGGACTGGAGATGGGAGAAAAATATTTTCTAAATGATATCAAGTGCTCTGAGGTCAAAATAAATGTAAGTTATTGTTTCTATATTGACTGCAGCACTTTGATAGATTATTTAGTTTATGCCCTTTGCCGATTATTTGGCAGATATTTGTTCCAATTTAGGATCATCCCTGGAGTCCTGCAGCTCAGTGGTTAGAGCACTCGCCTCGCAAGTGAATGACCTGAGTTTGACTCGCATCAGAGCGAAACGCTGGGCAAGTTTCCTTCCTCCACACGTCTCTGTTTACCCAGCAGTAAGTAGGAACCCGGTTGTTAGTCAATTGGTGGATCGCTTTTCCGGGGGTAATAATTCCTTCAAAAAATAATAATAATAATTTGATCATTCAATCTATGTCTGTTTGTGGGTCACTGCTGTGCGCAATTGGCTGCCGTGAATCGCCCACAAAATACAGTCAATTCACTTTACAGTACATTCTGTGAAGCACTTTGAGACGTCTCGAAGATGTGATAAGACATGATAGCAAATGCAAGGATTATTATTACTATGACAAGGTTGGAATGAAATGGCACTTCTCTGTGTTTAAAGACCCCTGTCTACATTGGTGGGGTCAAGCTCTTCGGTAATCAAGTTCTCTGGTCTGGTGATAGACAGGAGTCAGGTGTAAGAATAAGACACAGCAATAGCAAGCAGTGGTACAGATCTGATTATCTATGAAAAAAACCAATTGATGTTTAAGATGTGGTGAACACAGCAACACGAGACTGATAACTTTCAGTGAGAGTGACTAAGTAACTTTCAGTGTGAGTCGCTCAGTGAGAGAGTAACTCAGTGTCTATCAGTGGTTTAGAAAGTTGTGGATTCAAGTCCACTTCAGAAGTTTGAACTCACATCGTCTAGGCTGTCACTCCATTATAGTGCGGGGGGGAGCGCTGCATTATCAGAGGTGCCGTCCTTCAGATGAGATGTTGACCAAGGTCCCGTCTGCCCGTTCAGATGGATGTTAAAGATCCCATGGCACTATTGAAAAAGAGAACGGAGGGAAGTAATAGCTTCAAACTTCAAGCACTTCCAATTAGCGCTTTTCACATAGGATAACATTGCACCAAATGTCTGCAGATCAATATGGATTCTTGCTCTTCTCTTCCTCAAACCTGTCTGCAACCTCAGTGTCTAGTTTGATCCTCAGCTTTTCCTTCCTTCACCATCTGCCCAAGACTGCACTCCTTCACTTTCTCCACATCACCCACTTCCGACGCTATCTCACACAAAATGCAGCCTCTTCAATGCCTTCATCACCAAGGGAGCAATCTTGGCAACAGAATATCAGAACCAAATACATCCTCCGTGGGGCCACTTCAGCTCCAAGGAGAACCCCCACCTCCATCCCCCCCCCGGAAGATAGTCACTATTTGATCAAGGACAAATAAGGCACCCTGGATGGTGGGAACCAGAGAGAAGTGGAACAGAGTGATGTGGCATTCAGATTCACGCTCAGGTTTTAGAATTCTAAAAGCAACAGCTCAGGTGGGCAAGTCCATAAAGAATGTAAATAGACCCAGGCTTTACATGCAGAGGACAGAGTATAATGTAGGCAAATATGGGACACTCCTGTGTGCAATTGGCTGCCGTGTTTCGCCCGCAGAATATGCAGTCACTACATTTTACAGTACATAATAAAATAAAACAATAATAAATTGGTCATTTTCAATCTACGACTGTTTGTGGGACATTGCTGTGCGCAATTGGCTGCCGCGTTCGCCCACAAATATAGTCAATTCACTTTACAGTCTATTCTGTGAAGCGCTTTGGGACGTCCTCCCGACGTGAAAAGCGCTATATCAAATGCAAGGATTATTATTATTATTATTATTATTACATTCTGTGAAGCGCTTTGAGACATCTCGAAGACGTGATAAGGCTCTATATCAAATGCGAGGATTATTATGTTATGTTACAGTTGGATAAAAACTAGACCACATTTAGAGTTTTAGGGAATAGTGGATACACTCAAGGACAAGCACAGTCGAAGAGGAAGACGAAGACACTGCGTCTATCAGTGAGAGCGCCGGCTTTTCGAATTCCTGATTATTTTATGCCAAGTTGCAAAGGAAGGGAGACCTGTTACAGCACCACTGATTGACTGCTGGAATGTGTGAGAGCAGACATGCCCAGGTAGTTTCAAACGTGCTTTGTAACTGCAAATCCGCGCCTGTTTCCAATGCATCAATTCCCTCCGGGCTTCCCACTGCCTACTTTTACTCCCAACCCCAACCCCCCCCACCACCACCGACCCCCCCCCAAAAAAAAACAATAAAAATGAGCTGTCTTCCATAGCTTTCCTTGAGTTTCCTGTACGGATTTAAGCCGAGACCAGCGCAAATAAAGAAGTCAGACATTATCCAGAGACGGGAGGTAGAGGATTAAATATGCAAAGGGAATTGTAAATCTCTGATTCCTCTATATATATATATATATATATGTGTGTGTGTGTGTATATATGTGTGTGTGTGTATATATATGTGTGTGTGTGTGTATATATATGTGTGTGTGTGTGTATATATGTGTGTGTATATATATATGTGCATATATTACCTTCCATTCTGGGTATCTCTCCTGAACAGAATCAATAAAATATGAAAGATTTATCTAAAAGAAACGTGGTTCTTATTAACTGGGGAGGGAA